TTGATATTGTAAGTCAGCTAGTAAGGGATATGGGGAATCAAAAAATCAATTTACTGTATGGAGGGACTAGCATCACTTTCTTTGATAACCTTTTAATGGCTGGAATATGTTTTGATATAGAAGTGAAAAGTATCATACCTTTTCATAGAGCTTCAACAAGGGTCGTCAAAGATTTCACGAGTATGATGCTAACTCATTTTATTTATGACTGTATGATGGATATGGTGAACAATAGCGATGCTTTTATCATTCTTCCATGCGGTTATGGAACTTTAATGAAAATGTTTGTCATTGCTTCTTGGGCAGAATTGAAACTTCATAATAAGCCCATAGGTCTGTTTAATTTTAATAACTTCTTTCATAGTTTTCTTGGATTTTTAGATGAAGGAGTATATCAAACCTTTATATCTCCTTCAGCGAGAGAAATATTCAAATATGCAGACACATCTGCTGAACTTATCAAAAAGCTTCAAGAATACATCACATTTCAAGATTATGTGGAAACACAAGTGGTCAAGCGAAAAAGAGCTTTTGATCCTTTAGATCTCTCATTATGAACTCAAATATCATTTATGGGTGGCAGAGTTACGGAGTTTTATACTCTCGAGACGCACCCTTCTTTTATGAGTTCTATTATGTAATATTTGCGTTGTTGTGTACAAATTGTTATATTTTACCGAGTACCGAATCAAGGATTCGTTTCCCGGGTCGATCTCTCGAGGAAGGCTGTTCGGAATTTAGCTTTGGTATCGATAACACATAAAACGAAAATAAATCCTAAACACTCTAATCAGAGAGCAGTAGGATGAATTATTAACTAAGAAATAAAATAAAACAATAATTTACCTAAAAATATAAACGGAACAAAGATGGAGAAGCTAGGGAAACGGGGATAATTTATTCAAGTTCTTAGCAACACCGGGCAATCGATTGTTCGGTTCAAGATTGACACTCTCGCTTAAACATCTAGCGGTTCGCTCCCAATAACTCTTCGTAACAAGGGATTGAACTTAGACGAACAAGCTCGAGCATACAATACATGTCAATTATCCAATCCCAATAACTTTTCGTAATAAGGGACGGGTCCTTGACAAACACGTATTTCAATCTCAACCCATAGATTATTCAATTACGAAATCATCTATCTCATGCGAGCCTAGGTCTACGACTTCTCCCCTTTCGGTTCTAAAAGTCGCTAATTTAATTAGAAGGTGTTTAATCAACTAATCATGTAGGATCAATAAACCCTAACTCCACAAATCAATATTCAAACGCAAAATCGAAGTGTCACTCTTCGATTATATCAACAAATGAACCTAAGTGTCACTCTTAGGTTATATCAAATCATCAAGCAAGAATTCATCAATTCTGAATTAAATCAACTCACATAAGCATGAACAATCTCGAGCCCGACAAATACACGTTAAACAAGAACAATCATCCCCTATCCCTAGCAATAAGAATTAGCTATGTAAAATAAATTCAACACCAATAATCATCTCTCCCAAATCAATCATTATTCATGGATTAATTCAAAGAGAAAAGAAACTTACAATTTATTTTAGCCAAGTGTTGAATCCCAAAGTACAAAGCTTAATCCTTGATAACTAAGAAGAAGAAGAAGAAAAATGGAAAAGAAAAGTGAAAAGAACGAAGAAAATGAGGAAGGAAAGGAGAAGAGAAGAAATGAGTTCTGTGGTGTTTTTACGGGCCTAGGGTTCGTCCCCAGGAGGGGGAGAATGAATAAAACGAGTTCCCGTACACATATTTATAAGAAAAGTTGGCCACGGCGTGAGGAAGGCGCGACACGACGCGGTGGAAGGGTGCTCCGCGGCGCGGCAGGGCTTCGCGGCGCGGTGGATGGGTGCTCCGCGGCGCGGCAGGCTCGTTCGGGCTCGTTTGAACTCGGAATTGAGTTCCGTTTTTTCCTATGCGTAGCTAACGAACCCCTCTACACAATGGTGCTTTTAAATCCAACTTATTCTTGTAAACCTGTACTCCCAAAGATTTTGACTTGAAGATGACGGCTTCCGTGCGCGACTTCACATATCGGGCCCGTCCGGACTCGTTCGAACTCGAAATCGAGTTCCGTTTTTTCTTACGCGTAGCTAACGAACCCCTCTAACTAACTATGTAATTCCAGCACATATTTTCCTGAAAACTTGTCCTCCCAAAGCTTCCCATCTGCACACCAAAATTGAAAGAAAAACGAAGGAAACCGGAAAAACACACGAAAAACACAAAAATACTCACAATGACGCGAAACACGAAATAAGCGACAAAACGACACTAAAACCACATAAATGACTCAAAATGGGGAAAAAGAACGAGAAAATAGACAAGAAAAACGTAACAAAAATGGGACAAACATGCGTATTTTGTATTCATCGAGTATTTATTGCCTCTTCTCCATATGTCCATCATCTGAACATTCTGTACTTGTTTCTCAGTAATAATAATATCAATTTTGCATTTCCTCAAAATAAGTATGTAGTACGTCATGACTACAATTATTGTCACATGTGCTTCTTCTGGAGCACTTCATTGTAATATCTATATCATCTCAAATCTCAATGTGATTTTGTCATTTGGCATAGTCCCTTAGACTCATATAATATACTGAGAAATCATTTTGTATGGTCACCCATAACTGGTAACTTTTAAAACTATTTTCTCATTTTGTTCAATTATTCTATGGTAGCTTCTGGTACCATTTATCACCTTGTTTAATCATAACGTGATAGCTTTCAGTACCAATATATCATATATAATTTAATCATTATGTCGTAACTTTCGACATCACATTAATCATGTGGTAACTACTGGTAGGATCTCATCAATATTTGTATTTCCACAAATTTGGAAAATTTATCAATTATTTTCCAAGATCAGATTAGTCCATATAATGTCAGGACTTTAATAAGTTTTTCATATGGCCAGATACAAAGTATCATTAATTCCATTCATCGGCTATCACTTAATTTGTATTATCCGTCGCCGGCGGCAGAGCCGCACTAGTCTGCCCATGTATATATAGCCATTCATATCATTTTATATGTATATTTCTTGTACATGGCTTTATCATCTGGCATTCCATATCACCGGTTATCATTAGTATACTTATCATCTGGCCATCACCGGTCATCATTATTCAATACACTGACCGGTTCACTTAGTTGTTCAAATCTTATTTTTTGTGGATACACTGCTCGGCCATTTTACATGATTTTTCATATTTCAACAATTGACCCAACGGCTACCATTAAATATTACGTGCTGGCGGCAGAGCCGCACTGGCCGTCTATGTAGCCACACATACTTATTTTCGTATCACAAGGGTCAATAAATATTCGCATGTTCATGTACCCAATATTCCGATATCCAATCCATAAATATGCACATGCTCATGTATCAAATTATCTTTACAATAACAAAATTCAAGCATTTCATAACTATAATATATTTAATGTATTATAATAAACCATATTAATATTGGTCTTAAATCGAAGTTCTATTTAAATGATATATTATGAAATTGTAAAATGCTAATTTTGATACTGTATGCCTTTTGTATCCGATAAAATCTATATGAAGCTTGATGAATAATTGAAATTTTATATTCATGTTTCATTATAATGTCCATGAAATATAATTTTTTCAGATATATCAAGAGCTTCAAATTCGAGTTTGACCAGATTTGCCATGATAACTATAAAATAAAACATCAATGCTTAGATTCGAAAAAAAAAAATTACATATACAATCATTAATTCTCCAAAACGTACATAAGAGCAAATAATAAACACATTATACAAAAACCTAATACATAAAATATAAATTCAGAAGTATGATACATTATTGTGAAAATTCCCAAAGCGTATATAATAAACAATATAATGGTAATTACAAATAATAGATTAAACATTTTTTTTTTTTCTTGAGGAGAATATATTGTAGTATTTTGGGATGAGTGTTAAATATATGAAATGAAGTGTGATATATATAGATTGATAAATAGCCGTTGCAAAAAGAGCCGTTATATAGCCGTTAGATTTTTTATTATTATTATATTTTTTTTATATTTATTTACAAAAACACATTATTGATATAATATTTGTTAATTATATCATTCATGAAAAATTTAATTAATCATGCATATCAACATATAATTATTTTTTCGGGTTACTTAGTAAACGTTTTAGCTAATATAACAAATAAAAATGTCACCCCACACTACTCGATAAATCTTTCATTGGGTACACGAATAAGCAGTTATAACTTCCACGCCACATTACTGGGTAAACCATTTTGTGGGTGTGAAGTACAATTAATAATATTATGTTCATAATCAGTAGTAATTCATAAATAATTTAATAATATCATCTTACCACATATTATTGACTATGGCATAGCCTTACTTGCCAATAATAATGGTAATATGTATATTAGTAAAATATACTAATTTTATATATACATATATAATTAATATATTACTACCTTTCTGACCGGGTAGAGCGCTCGTGCTGATAACGTGTTATGAATACTAGAAAAATAAAGAACACAAATATAGAAACCGGATATAATTTTTACTAAATTTTTTCTTCCTTTATTACTTTCTCTCTTTTCTTTTCTTCTTTTCTACATCTCATAATGCTCAATAAATTGAGCAATAAACGATCAAAAAAATAAATTGAGCAATATTTATAGGTGAAATATGTACACCTATATTGACATTTTTACACAAGTAGAAAATTCAAAATCAAATGTGTACAAAAAGGACTTTTGTTAGTCCATATTTTACAACAAAATATAACCCATTTTTATAGTCAGGACACATATATTAAATAATCATTTTTGTACACAAATTCTATGGTGCGCATATGGATATAATAAGCCATACCACAATATGAGGTGTGTATTTTTAATTTAAATTATCATTATAAGGTAGTTTTTTAAAGGTTTTCTAGACCAAAAATCAATTAAACTCCTTCATATAATAGGATTGTTCTCGAATCCATATACTGAACACTCGGCCCCAAACTGCTCGGTCAGAATTTTCCACAAGTGCTCGAATCCATACACTTGAACACATCCCCATTGCTCACGTTAAACGCCTCGTTATTCGCATAGGCATCGACTGTTGCCCAAATCTGGTGCTCGGCAATCAAATCTGCATCGGAGCAATTCGAATACCCGTCTCAGGCGGCCTTATAGCCAGAGAACCTCATAACCTTACCCTCATGCTTGCAAATTGCCGCGTAAACACAAAGGGGCCAGACTAAATTCATCAAGCTATAAGGCGAGAAACCGAATATGTTTGTGGGCCGGTGAACTGACAAGGTCAGGCCCTCTTTCTTCTCCACCGCCTCAAACATGATATTGACACAAATATTTTCAACTGTTGAGCATGACCCGGACCGGCGGAGACATCGTTCGATAGTGGTTTCGGGGAGGAATAATTTCGGGTCTGGACGGACGTCTTCAAGGAGGAATAATTTCGGGTCTGGACGGCCGTTTTCAGGGAGGAATAGGAGTCGGTGGATGGTCGTGAAGATGCAATGGATTTGGGGAAATGGTGGGCTAGGTCGTGAATTGCAGGTGGATTTGGGAAAACAAAGGGCATGCTTCTTTACAAATTACTAGTGTACATCCCGTGCTATGCACGGAAGAGTTCATATTTTAAACATTTTTTAGACTTTATTTTAAATATAATTATTTATATTTTTCACATCTCGTCCATTATAAAAATAAAATAAATACAATCAATGAAAAATATATAATATTAAATACTTTCCTTTATACAATATTTTTTATTTAAGAAATATTATTAAACCTTACGGTTTTGATTTGTTTTTTTAAATCAATAATCCAAAATATATGATTGTTAACGTACAAAAAATAATGGAAATAATCCAGACTTTAAAGTAAAGCTATTTTTTATTATTTTACAAATAAAAATCTTTCAAATTTTTTTTAATTTCAAAAAAAATTTGGCAAGTTTGTTAATGAGTTAAATCAAGTTATACAAATGATTAAATAGTTAAAATGTTATATTAATTATATTTTAAGAAATCTAATTATATAAAAATGGTAAAAAAATATTATACTAATTAGTTTGTTAGGATTGTGATTATATGAAAGTTAAAATAAAATGAAATGTAACCAAAAAATTTGTTCGTGGTTTTTTCCTAAATGTTTGAATTTAAAAATCTAGTAACCAAATTTACATTATATCACGTAAGGAAAAAAATAAATAATAAATATTTATTAAAGAGATAAATCAATAATATTTATCACTTAGATAATAAATAATAAATATTTACATGTAAAAAAATAAATAATAATATATTTAAAAATATAAGTCAGAATTTCAAATAAAGTAAAAGGAGGGATAACTCATTTTTTTAAAAAAGTTTCTAAATATTTAATATATTGATAAGTATCTCCATAAGAATAATCATACCATTTTAATTTTAAAAAAATTGACAAGTTTGTTAGAGAGATAAATCCGGTTAGACAAATGATTAATTTGTTAAGATATTATATTAATTGTATAATAAAAAATCGGTTAGATAATGTAGATAAAAAAATATAATACTAATTAGTTTGTTAGAAATGTGATAATGAAAACCAAGATAAAATGAAATTTATCCAAAAAAATTGTTTGGAATTTTTTCTTTTAAATGTTTGAATTTACAAATTTAATACCGAAATTCTATTATATCACATAAGGAAAAAATAAATAATAAACGTTTATTAATATATTAAAATATATAATTTTGAATTTCATATAAAGTAAAAGGTATGCTTATTCAAATTTATTTTTAAAATAAAAGTTATGATAAACATTTATTGATTCTCTTTCAAATATATTAATAAAATAAAAATATAAATCTAAACAAATTTTGAAACAACCAAAAAAATCGGATTGATTGGCATAAAAAAAAGAAGTGAAATCGGATTTGAATGCTAAAATCGGAACACCTTACCAAATTGAATGCTAAAAGATTCGATTTGATTGGTTACCTAATTACATGGGCTGAAAAAATTCAAAAAAAAATTTTACGAATTGAAGAAGCGGGAAAACACTATATTGAAGCGGGAAAACGAAATGATTATTTTCGAATTGTTCAAATAATTTTTCTTCTCCGTATTATATAGTAATAGATTTCATTCTCATTCAATTCCTACTCAAAATTTAATTCAATTTTAATCCAACCCCACTATTTTTAATATTATTCATATAATTAAATTATACAAATCAATCATTCTTACACATCACATAAATTTTAATTCACTATTCATCCACTCACATAATTTTAACTACTTATCATTTTCAATCATTTTCAATCATTTATCTCATACTTTTACATCAAATCAATTTTAATTATTTTATTTTAAATATTATTTTAATATATTTTTAAAATTTCACTAACAACTAACCATACAACCTTTTTCAAAATTAACTATGATTAACCAAAATAACTCATTTTGAACAAATTATTCCATAAACAAACGCCCCTAACATTTGGATTGATTTTGGGAACAATCCTATTATGAATGGAATTTTGTAATTGATTTTGGGAACAATCGTAAGTAATTTTTGGTGTGGGAAACTTTTTAAAAAGCCACCTAATATATGACATGGAATTGATAGTTAAAATTAAAAATGTCACATCGACACATCATGTTATGGCATGACTTATGGTACTCGTATGGGCGCCATAGAATTTTTGAATTTTTATATAGGGCCGGTACATTTAGACAAAATACAATAGGTTGGATCATCAGTTTTCCACTTCTTTCAATTAGTGATTTTTATTTTAGTCTCGTTGACATGTTAATTAATATATATTACTAATATAAATTTAATTTTACAATATATATTTATTCATTGATATAAGAAAATAAAAATTATACATATTCTTGTTCACCATATAATATTCTATTATTTTTTATTATAATATTTGTTGTCTTATAATGTCATTATTATTATTTATATTGGTTATAGTAGTAGTCTTATTCTTCTTAGTTTATGTAATAAAAGTTAAAATAAAATTGTGTGTATAAATGTTTACAAAATACACACACATGTTTTTTAGAATTTACTTTTCTCATAATAATTACAAAAATTTATTTAGCAAATTGTCAAATACAAGAGATTTTTCTAATTTTCATCCTAAGGCTTTAATAGTTTATTTAACATACTATGCAATATAAATATATATTTTACATTAAATTCATTATGGAAACAAGTAAACAATAAAAATAGTAAAATTATAATGGTTGACAATAATATACAAATAAATCGCATGTTGAAATTGTAAAGAGTAGTTAATATATTTTAATTTTATTATCCAACCATTAGTAAATTATTTAATGATGTGATCATTATCTCTTAAATAGTAAATTATTAATTTGACAAAATTATTTTTTTTTATATAATTAAACAAAAGGTTAAAAATATTATCGAAAAATATAAATTCACCAACTTGATTTCGCCTAATCAGTTAAAAGTAGAAAATTATTTAACATGTTACGATTATTTATAAATACTTTAGGATGAAAGTCAACATTTGTGAAAAAAAAATTTAATAATAAGGTTAAGACTTTAAATTTATTTTCATGTTTATGTTGACCACAATATTATCAACATGAATCACGAAAAAATAAAATTATAGTTTATTATAATGGATATCAATAAAATTATTGCAGATACTAATAAAATTATTCAAGTAAAGAATCTTTTTAATCATATCTGATTTGAAAATGTGTATATAAAATCAATTAATGCACATATTTAAAAAAATTTCAAATACAATACACATTAAATGCTCCCATATTTTTTTGCTATTATTTTTAGTAAAAGTTTATTCTCTTTATATATAGATATAAATTAATTTATATAAATATTTTGATTTCTTTCTGAACTAGTGACTCATATGGTAATTTGAAAGAGTTAGTGGTGAACCATATAGATTCAAGTTTCGTTTCAATTATTCAATTTTTTCTGTGCACACCAACTTCCATATAGTTTCTACTTTATTTATTATTTTTAATATGAAACCGCCCTCCTATTACTACGTACTGCCCCCCTTTGGACAGCTTTACCCCTGACATTTTCTCTAAAACGTAANACGCACTGTGCACGGCCGCAATCGCCAGTAGGACGGACCCTGCACCGTCTGGTTTCGTCGGTAGGACAAACCGTGCACGGCCGTCTTCACCGGTAGGACGCACCGTGCCCGTCCGTTTTTGCCGCCCAGACGGAGGGATTTTTATTTTTTTTATTCATTTTTTTATTATATAAGTTATAAAAATTATAATTTAATTTATAACATAAATTATAGAAAAACTAATTATAAATAAAAATTATTAATATTTATTTGTTATATTATTGTCAACCATTATAATTTGACGGCCGGTGAAGACGGCCGTGCACGGTTCGTCCGACCGGCGAAATTTGACGGTGCACGGTTCGTCCTACCGGCGATTGCGGCCGTGCACGGTGCGTCCAACCGGCGATTGCGGTCGGTACCGTGCACAGCCGGTTTTGTCGGCTGGACGGCGAGAGATTTTTTTTTTTTTTACTTTTTAGATAAAACTAGTGTATACTCCGTGCGATGCACGGAAACAATATTAAATTAACAATATTATAAATAGACCTCGAGTTTGAGTCACTCAATGATCGAAGTGGAAACTACTATTGATCCTATTTAAAAAGAGGAAGCAAAAAAAATAATTATAAATTAAAGAGGAAGATAAACAATACTTAATAATTATAAATTAAAGATTCGGGGTCAAACAATGTAAAATTATTTTGTATAAGATAATATAAAAAAATTTGATTATACACCATTTCAAAATTATTATTATACTTTTTTGTATGGTTAGCTTATAATATTTGTAAAAATATTAGTAATTAGACCGATAAAAATTAGCTTCTTAAAGTAGATAATGGATTTTCAGTAGTAATTATGAATTGGTTTCTATTTTATTTTATTTTTTCTTTTTAAAGATAATGGATTTCTAGTAGTAATTATGAATTGGTTTCTATTTTATTTTATTTTTTTTCAAATTAGGCACTTATAAAACAAAATGAACAAATAGTACACTTCGACAATTCAAAAAAATTTAAGCACTTAGGAATAATTTAATAAAGCAAGAGCAAAAAATAAGAATTAAGAAGACGGGGACATCTTCTTAAATTTCGATTTTTGATTTGTAAAATTTTAAGAAAATTAAATAGACAAGTACATCTATTTAATTCGATTTTTGGATTTTTTTTTTTCCAAAACGACAGAGGTAACTATTATAAAACTCAAAGCGAAAAATGTTCGAATACAAGGGGATAGCATCAACTAAAAAGAAAAACTGAGAGACTCGCATGAAGCGGTCTAGAACCTCAACAAGTAAACAACTAGAAGCCTAAATAACAACTCAAACAGACACAAAAGTACATAAAAAAGTGCACTCTACCACTGGTATAAAGCCTAACAAGGAACTCAACAACTCAAACCTAAAAGAAAAAAAACAGAACATAACGACAACAGAAAAGACTAAGCAACATGGGAGAATTCCAGCCAATCTGATTGAGCCATCTTGATCAATATGTGCTCTGGGATTAAAGAGTTTTGAAAGATCCATAAATTCCTTGACTTCCAAAGCCACTAAATCAATGATTTCTTTCTTAACTTCGAACTTATTCACGTCAAATGGGTTAGCAGCTCAGTAGAAAGGCATTTCTTTTTTCACAAGATTTATTATATATTGGAATTAATTGGAGCGTATATATGTACTACTGCGCATCCCGTGCGATGCACAGACATGCTTGTTACTTAGAATATTTTTTAAAATTTTGTTTAAATATAATTATTTATATTTAACATCTCATTATTGCAAGAAAAAAAATAAAAAATATGAAAAATATATATTATTTATTTAAATAGAATGTGTTGGAATCACACCCAGGGAGCAGCTCAATCTCGCCTTTTGGATACGGGCATAGATCAGGTTCCGGGACCTTAATGGAATGGAATCAGGCTCCACGACCAAACCAATAACATCTAACACATGATATATGATAAAATTAATTCTATGCATCGTCATGCTTTCAAAT